TATGCATATATGCAGATAGAGACAGACAGACAGATGTTATATTGCTTCTGTTTTGAAGAGAACCTGACTAATAAACTCCGTCCTGGTTTTGGAAGACATCATGTCTCCTTGGTTTCATTTTTTAAACACCTCACAGATTCTCCAGTGAGACTCTCAGGACCTGGACAATTACTTTTTGGAATCTGTTATTTCACTAATTCTGTTTCTTTAGTGGTTGCAGGACTAGGGAGATTCCTTTGCTAATTTTGGTTTTGGAGGAATTGGACCTTTCTTCAGAAAGTTGTCATGTTTATCCCTCTCAAGCTGCTGCTAGCTCACCTCCACTGAATAATAATGAGAGAGCCAAGGGGGTGTGGGGACGGCTCCTAATTGTTCTTAGTAAGTGTGAGCTCTGTCTGTTTGCTTTTGTTGGTCTCACTAGCTGTTTATCAGTTTTAGTAATCTTTTCAACAACCAGAATTTTTTGTTGTATTGATTTTTTTTTTGTTATATTTTCCATTTCACTGGCTCCTGCTCTTTGTTGTTTTTTTTCTGTTTCCTCGAATTTGGTTTATGCTGCTTTTTTTTTTTTCATGCAGGATATCCTGGTGAGCATTGCAGCTGGCTTGATTCGGAAGCCTCAGCACCTTGGCCTTTCATATGCCCTTTGTAAAGTGTCTGTCACCTTTTGTGTCTGCTACCTTTTGTTGGAAGCATGGAAATCTTACCTGAGTGCTTTCTAAAGGGTTCAAAGCCTATGCAAAACCTGGTTGTGGGAGGACTCTGAAAACCTAGATCTCACGTGACTGGGAATTACCTTGGTATTTGTCTCTCTGGGGAGCTTCAGATAAGAGGTTTTGGCATGTGGAAGTTGACTTGTAAATTGTGTAACAATAAAAAAGCCTTTTGCAAAGCTACAATCAGTCAGTTCACCAGAAGCTACAAAGGCTAAAAAAATCATCCTAGAGTGGCCCATGAGAAATGAACAGACAGCACTTGGTGCCCAACACAAGGCTTGAAGAAAAAAGTGATCTGGACACTATTAAAGACTGGAGGTAAAAAAAAAAAAAAGTGCTCTCAAGGCCCTGCACCCCACCAGAGCAGCACATCAGATCCAACTCTGTTAGGGGAGGTGTGGCTGAGTCATCCCTAAATTCAAGATACATGATGTGAAAAGCACATAGAATAAATCTTATTTTTGAAAAAGTGCTCTCTCAAGGTAGAAGGACTCCAGGTTAGCAGGGTCATGGGAAACTTTCCATCTCAGGAGCAATGATATGTGCAGTTATTACAATGCCTGTTTAAAAAAAAATAGAGTAAAAATGAAGGAAGAATAGCTTACAGAGCTTTTGGTATTAGTTAAATGACATTGTCATTGGTTTCAGACAACTCAGTTCAATTAAAACTGAAGGAATAAAAACAAGTGTTAAGAGCTTGGAGGAGAGCTCATCAGAGAAGAGAGCCCCTACTATTAAAAATATGGTCTTTATGTAATTTAATTTCAAATGCTCTAGAGCCATTGCATAGTGAAAAATTGCTCAAAGCTTGATCTGATGTAAAACAGGAAAGTTAAAAAAAAGATATTCTGGCAAAAAAAATTGTTAGTCATCAGAGGAAAATGTTCCTTCACAAAAAAATAGAAAGTAATGTTATTTCATCCGGGCAGTGGTAGTGCACGCTCTTAATCCCAGCACTCAGGAGACAGGTGCTCAAACAAGCAGTAAAAGAATAGTTAGATGTAAGTACATTGAGGAAACTACTAGTCCCTGAAATTCTCCTGTATTTGTAATAAAAGAGAAGTCTGGAAAATGGAGATTGTTAACTGATTTGAGAGCTAGAAATAAGATAATTCAACCCATGGAATCTAACAGTCCAGAATTCCTTTACCTTCTTTATTACCTAAAGATTGGTTTATTTTGTTATTGATTTGCAGAATTGTTTCTTCACTATCCCTTTACAAGGACAAGATAGAGAAAATTTGCTTTTACATTGACTACTTATAATAATGCCCAGCCTGCAAAGAGATATCAATGAAAATCCTTCCTCAAGGAATGTTAAACAGTCCTGCTTTATGCCAATATTTTGTACATCAACCACTGGAAATGGTTTGTAAACAATTCCTCAATCCATTATTTACCAGTATATGGATGACATTTTATTGGCGGCTTCTGATACAGATACTTTAGAAGGAATGGTTAATGTAGTACAAGAAATTTTACCCTGTTGGGGATTACAGATTTTTCCTGAAAAAATACAAAGAGGAGATTGCTTGCCCCCAGGCCTGATGACCTGAGTATTTGACTGTGCAGTCCTAAATGGGAAAAAGAGAGAACTGACTTCCTCAGGTTGTCCTCTGACCTCCACGAGTGTGAGGTGGCACATATGTACATACACACAATTAATAATAATAATAATAAATAATAATAATAATAATAATAATATGTCCATTATGGGACATTTAATATTACATTAGTTTGAATGACATCTTGAGATTGTGTGTATGTGTGTGTGTTCTAAAATAAAACATCATAGCCCAGAGTGGCCTCACACTTGTTATGAGTGGACATTGGCATTGAACTCCTGATCTTCTTGCCTCTGATGCCTGATTGCTGGGATTATTGGCATGTGCCACCATGTCCAGCTTGTGCGTTTTTAAGGTCATTCATTTTAAGATTTATTTTCTTTTTGTCTGTGGCAATTAAATAGCATATTATTTAAGCCAGGTGTGGTGTTATATGCCTTTAATTGCAGCACTCAAGAGGCAAAGGCACACAGATCTCTGTGAGTTGAAAGCCAGCCTGGTCTGCATAGGGAGTTCCAGGACTGTCAGAGCTACATAACAGAGATGCTGTTTCAAAAAAGAAGTATATTACTAAATTTCTACATGTTTAGAAATTTTCTCATTATCTTTCTGTTGCTAGTTTTAAGTTTGATTCCATTATAGTCAAAGAACACATTATATAATTTAAATTCTTTTTTAAATTTAGTATTGTTTGTTTTCAGGCTCCAGACATAAGCCAGCTTGGTCAATGTTTCATGAATTCTTGGGGGAAAGTGTGTATTGAGGTTGACACATCATCCTTGATTCATTTTTTATGTACCTGTTTATATGTGTGGTGTGCACTGGAAACAAGCAAAAGCACCTTGTTCTAAGTACTCCAATTTTGACTTCAGACTCCATTTTAACTGCAGAGTGGAACAAAGTCAAGTTTCCAGGCCTTGGGGGAGCTGGGGACTTTCCAAAAGCTGACCAACCTTCTCCTTAAACAAAAGAAATAATCTGTCATGCATCTTTGGTTTTCTAAAACGTTAGGTTGTTCCTAACAACAAAAAGAACAAATGAATCTGATTGGTTGGACTAAACAGCTTATGCTCTGTGTCAGATGATGATGGAAAGACATAGGGGAAGCCCCTAATCTTTGAATCCTGATTGGTGGAAAAATGTAACTGTAACTTGGCACTGATGTTTGTGGTTTTTTGTGCTGAAATACTTGCTGCAATGAACATTCGGTGATATAGTGAGCTATGAGTCTGTGCAATTGTCCCTGACCGGTCAGTTCTTTTGTTTTTTGTTTTCCTGTTGCCCAGTTCAATACAAATCTTGCTTTGTGTGGACTCTGGTGCGTGCTTGGGTTATTTTAGATTCGCGGACACTAACAGGTGCATTGGTGCGAAAGTGTATGTGTGTGCATGCTTTTGGAAGCCAGATAATAACTTCACAAGGGCCACCTCCTGTACTTCTATCCATCTCCTTTGAGTCAAGGTCTATCCTTAGCCTGGAGCTCACAATCCCCTCCCTCTTCCATGTTGACAGAATCCTGACTTTGCTTGAAAAGGGAAAATATTTACCTAATAGTTCATATTTCCCAGCTGCCCTCACAGAAACAAACTCCTATGTTATTTATGTCATAGTTAATTTCACCCTTTCTATCATATTCTGTCTGAGGGAGTTCTGAATGTTACAAGATTTGCTGGTAGTACTTCAAAACTACAAAGCCAACTATGTATAACACCGAGATTTCTGAGGAAACCGTGGTGGGCCCCTTCACCTCAGAACTCCATGTGTGCTGGGCTGGGCTGGCAGGTAGGGGCTCTGACAGTGGGAGGCTGCAGGGTCCGTGCTCGGACTGAAGCAGATGGCAGAGCAGGCTTATCTCTCCTTTCCTTTCAGCTCATGTCTAAAGTCTATAATTCAGCACATGTTCTTGCCCTGATGTCTTTTCGTTTGCTATATTTAATATTCATGTATGCCATACCTAAATTAGGCCTCAGAGTTGAAGATGGGAGCAGTGATAATGTGGGCCAGATTCTAGATGGTTAGCATGTACAAGTTCACAGAGAGCCTTTAAGGAACCATGGCAATGGCTATGAACTTGCTAAGAATCAATTTTGCATGGGAAGTTTTATCCAGCCCACAATTACCTAAGTGCTGTAGCCTCACGAAATTGGCAGGGCACTAAAATTATAAATGCAGGCTGTCATTCATTTAATGAAACTATTATTTGATGGCGCCTTTTGGAAAGTTCCTTAACAGCACATTAGGCCAACTGGTCACCTCTGGCCAAGGCGCCTCTTAATTATCTCCAGATCCAGGTGAAATGGAGACACTCTACTGAGCATTTTGGGAAGGGGTCGGTGATATTCCTAATGCCTGCAAGAACCAGACATGCAGATCAACTTGCCTTCAGTCTTCAGAAATCTAGAGGGCCAGAGTTATTGGTCAAACCTGCAGCTACATTGGACTGCCTCCAGCCCCATGTATGTTATGTACTGTTTATGTAGCGAGGTTCTCTTCCTACCAGGGATCTCTGTCTCTCTTCCTCCCTCCCTGACCACCCGCCCCCGTTTCACTGTCTCTCCTTTTAGTTTTTCGAGACAGGGTTTGTCTGTGTAGCCCTAGATGTCCCAGAAGTCCCTCTATAGACCGGGCCTGGCCTCGAACTCAGAGATGAGTTTGCCACCACCGCCGGGCACTTAACTTGTCTTCTCTATCCAATTCTGGCCACCAGGCTAGAAAGACAATGGCCTGTCGCTTTAAGAACCAGGTGGGAGTCGCTTCCTCTTTCCTCTGCCTTGCGGGGGTCTCTCTGGGTACCGGCGGCCCGGGCGACCACCCCTTTCTCCACACGCAGCTGTACTACGGGTTCGTTGGCCCATCCGTCACAGAGCCGCGGCCTCTGATTGGCTCTTGCGCTTCGGGACCGCCCACGCAGGCGGGAATTGGGAGAAAGGAGTTTGTTGGCGGGCTCGGAGCCGTCCGGTTACGGGAGAGCCCCGGGGCTGCGGCGGTGCCTGCGGCGGCGGCAGCGGCAGCGGCGGCTGCGACTTCCCGCGCGTGGGTCGGCACGGTGAGTACTGTGTTTGGGACCTGGCCGAGCGTGGCCGCCGTGGTCGGCACTTGCCACCCGGATGGCCACCCTGCGGGAGGAGGCGGCCTGCAGCGTGTGGGGCCGAGGGTCCCGGTTCCTGGATCCGGGAATTTGGGTGGAGAAAGCCCCGGAGCGCCATTTAAGAGCAACAGCCACTTTGAAACTTCGGCAAAACTTAGTTCTCGGCACTCGGCGGCCCCCCGCCGGCCCCATAGCCTCAAGGCGTTTTGTACCCGATGGTCCAGGAAGAGTTCCACAGCTGCGGCGTTCTCCTTCTGTAAACCCGCCTGCTCGCAAAGTCTCCGTCCGTGGGGTCTCGTCCTGTGAGAGAGGTTGCTCGGGGCTGTTCTCTCGAACCCTGTCTTAGGGGGAAGACAGCCGCCTATCACATAGGCGGCTGGGCACAGACTGAGATGGTCTTGATGCTTATTCAGTGGGGTTAACGTTTGGAGGCTTGGGTGATATAAGACCCCTTACCCAAATTCAGATCTCAGACCCTTCCCTTCGAACCCCAGGGACTGGAGCGTCACTTCCCGTGGGGTGTGCCCCTTGAGACATTCCGAGGGCCGCGGCTCGCTTTCGGTTTGGCTGGCCCAAGGCTACATCAAAAGAAAACCAGTAAGCACCTGTCCGAGGAGGCCTCTGTGGGTAAGTCCTCCAGTTTTCCTAACATCTGGTCCTGGTCCTGTTGGGATCCCATTTAGGGGCAGTGAGGTGTTTTAGGAGACACATGAACTCCTGTCCAGGGCTCTAAGGAGAAGTCACACTGCCCGCCTGGTTCTTGGGCCCCTGTGCCCTGTGCTGTTTTGTCTTTTCTGTCTCTTTTTTCCTGAGTTTTCTGTGGTTTGGACTTGCGGTGACTGGTCGACAAAATGGGAAATAAGACTAGTAAAATTGATACTCCCTTAAACTGTGTAATGGACAATTTTGATGAACTTTACACCCGTAGTGTTAAGAAGTGTTACAAGTACCGCATTACCAAGAAACGTCTCCGGAACTTCTGTCAATATATATGGCCCACGTTCGAGGTCAGATGGCCCTCTAGGGGCACCTTCGATCCCCAGGTGGCATGGGCCGTAGTAGATTTTGCCCGCAGTTTACCTGGTGAGCTGAACCAAATTGGATACATTTTGCCTTGGGCAGAAGCAACATCTAATCCACCGCCATGGATGAAGGGTTATTTGGTCAGAAATGGCCTTCCTCATTCTCCATCGCCTCACCTCCTTCAGCCCCCACGTCAACCCAAACCTGTGACATGTCCCCCACCTCAACCCAAACCTGTGACATGTCCCCCACCTCAACCCAAACCTGT